TAACTTTCTAAAGAACTAGATTTCGCTTACGCTAATAGTATAGTACTTCTATAGACTAAAGATACTAGCTTTAAAATAGATTATAACTAAAATAATTTTATAAGATATTAGTAGACTATATAATAACCTTATAGTTAGCTATTTAATATTAAGTTAGGCTTTACTTATACTTACCTATAGTTATAGTATAGAATATATCTTATTTAACTACTATATAAGCTAAATATTATCTATACTATACTAGAAGAAGTAAGAGGTATAGCTAGAATAAGAATACTAAAGTAGAATATTAGCTATACGCCTACTTATCTCTATACACTAAAATAGCCTTAATATATATAGAGTATTCTTCTAGCTTAGATAGTAATAGCTACTATAACGCTTTATAATCTATAGAGTAAGAGTATAATATATTATAAGAGAAATTCTATCTACTTAAAAGAGTCTAATATATATATTTTTAGTTATAAACTTTATAGTAATAGTATAGATAGTATTCTTTAGCTTATAAAGAAAACTATAAGTATCTATAAGTAGTTAGAAGATTTAATTTAACTTAAGCCTACGCTATACTAACTATATAGTAGTAACTTTACCTAGAAATTTAATAATAGAGAAAGTTATATATATAGCTTTATATAATATAAGATAGATTATATATTAAAGAGTATTATTATTTTAGTATTCTAGCTAAGAGAAAAGTTTAACTACCTTATCTAGAAAGATACTATAAACTTCTATCTTAATCTATACGCCTATAATTAGAGAAACCTAAATACTTTCTAAGAATATTAATATAGTGTAAACTACTAAGTCTACTATATATCTATAGTTTTAGAAATTATATAGTATTTTCTAAAGATATTAGATAATATCTATATAGATTAAAAAGCTAATATTTATAGATAATAGTTAAGTAATAATATAGATAAACTTAACCTAAAGAAAGTATTAGAACTATCTAGAGAAACTAATAGAATTAAAGTAGCTAAGCTATACAATAAATTAAACGTAAATATAGAAACTAACCTAGTTATTAATATAGGTAAGATAGCTATACTATAAGTAGCTATAGAATATATTTAGTAGAAGTTTAATTAACTCTCTAAAAAGAATAGAAGAGTATATATACTACTTCTAGAGAGTTTCTCTAAATTATATTTCTTAGATAATATAGTTATTATAAACGTAGATAAGTTAAAGAAACTATAGAATAATTATATTATATAGTTATAGTTATATAAATATTATAACCTTATAGATATTAAAAGTATTATTATTTATATAGTACTTTAAGGCGTATTATTATATTAACTTAATAAGTACTTAAAGATACCTCTTTATAGCACTACTCTACTACTAGCTAATTACTATACTTTTCTTTTTATTACACGCTAGCTAGTATATATTCTAGACTACTAACTACTTCTAGTTAGAGGTAATATTCTCTAATAGGTTCTCTTTATCTTTATAGATAAAATTTAGTAGTTTAAAGTTTTATATTTATACTAGTAGAAGTTTAAACTAGAATTAGAAAATATAAAGTAGTTTTTCTAGCTAATATAGCTTCTTTACTTTACTAGTTATAGTTTAAGTATTAATATAGTAAGAACTATAGAAAAAAAGCTTTATAGATAGAATATGCTTAAGAGTATAGTATAGTCTTTATATTATTTTAATAATCTTATAGAAGTAATACTTTTTAGTAAGATATTCTAAGCTTCTAACTTATATAGAACTAGTACTTAATTATACTATAGCTAGTAAATAGAAGAAAAAGAATATAATAGCTAGAGTAGTAATAATATAGAAAATAAAAGTAGTAAAAAAAACTATAAGAAAATTCTTAGGTTGCGTAATACTAAAAATAAAAAAATTATTAAATTACGCTCTATCTATATATCTTATAATCTTAAGATAGTAATCTAGAAAAAAAGTATTTTTAAGAACTTAATATAGCTAGAATAGATAGTATAGTTAATAACTTAAGGTAAGAATTATATTAAATAGTAAGCTAAAAAAAAAATAAGAGAAGAAAATCTTATCTTAGCTATATTCTAGCTACTATACTTATAGAGTTATTTAAAGCGTTCTCTAAAGATATTTTACTTAGAGAAAGATATTCTAGATAACTAATAGTTAACTAGCTATAGAATATAAAGAGAGTAAAGTAAATATATATTAGTGCTAATTAGCTAAGTAGGTAATATAAATACAAATTAATAGACGCTATAATATTCTAGAACTTAATTCTTATAGCTCTATCTAAAGTAGTTAATAGTAAGATAGATAAAGAAAGAAAAAAAGTAAATAGATATTAAAAGTAGATAGAGAAATACGTAAAGAAAAAGTCTATATCTAAGTAATTTACCTAGATATATATAAACTAGCCTAGTATATAATATATATATCTTTAACTTATAGGTTCTCTTATTTATAAAAGTATTTTATTATTTATATTATTAAGGTTATAGAAGTTATAATTAGCTTATCTTACTCTAGATTATCTTTAGATTATTATATATAATATATAAAATATATAACTATCTAATTTACTTATATAATTATATACTAGCGTTACTTACCTACTATATAAGTAGAACTTCTTTCTTCTAATCTCTCTTTTCTTTCTATCTAGTTTAACACTACTAATATATAATTCTAATTAACTCTTTAATATATCTAATACGTTACTTAAAATAGCTCTTTATAAAAGTAAACTATAGCTAGATACTTTAGAAACGCTAGAACTACCTAATAAGAATAAGATAAAAATATAGTTTATATAAAAGAAAACTATAAAAATAACTATTCTAAAATAGAATTCTAAAGACTAGTATCTTACTCTTACTTTATCTATTAATTACTAAATACTATATAATAGTACTTTTATTATAGAAGTTAAGAATTATAATAATAATATTCTACACTATACTAGTAGTTTATATATAGAAAATAAGAATAGAAATAAGATACTAAAAGACTAAAAACTTCTTACACTATAGATAGCGCTAAAATAGCTATAAGAGAGTATAGAGTTTAGTAATATTTACTTTATTTATAAAGCTAGAATAATAGTAATAAGTTTAAATAACTTTTAGTATAGTATAAAGATAAGTTATAAGTTTATTAATTTACTTTAGTAAAACCTAATATAAGCTAATTAGACTCTAGATAAATACTTATAGTTCTTTATAAAAGACTAATAGTATAGCGTAATATACGTATTCTAGTTTACTTAGAATAACTTAACTAAGTAAAAGAGTCTTACTATTATTAAGTATTAGTATCTATATAGTTTATAAAGTATACGTATTTAAAAGTAAGTACTATAGTAACTAAGTTTTATACTACTTCTAATAATATAGTAGTAAATAAAAAGTTTTACGTATTTTCTTTAATCTAAAGCTAACTAAACCTATATATAAAAAGCTACTAGTACACTTTAGTAACTAATATCTCTAGCTTAATATACTAGATCTACTAATAAACTACTAGAGTTATATAGCTACTACTTTTCTTTTCTTTTACTACTAAAAGAAAACTAAATATACGCTTATAGTTATAAATACAAAGTATATAAAAAAGCTTATTAATAACTTAGCTTTAAGATAAGAATAGAGAAATAGTATTTTAAAAGGTAAATATAGTAAATATAGTAGTAAAGCTAATTAATAGTATATAACTTAGTAAGAACTAGTAGATAGAGTTTTAGATTTAGTATAGAGTAAGAGAGTAGTATTAAAAATATAGAAGAAAAGCTAAAACTATAAAGTAAAGTAGCTTTACTTTTATAAAACTTCTATATAGATTAAGATCTTAAACTAAGTACTATTTATAGGCTCTACTTAACTCTTCTATATATTAATTTAGTAATTAATGCGTAAATATCTATTCTCTTAGTAGAAAGGTATAAGCTCTTAAGTATAATATTTAGACTATATAATAGAGTTATTATTTTTATCTAGTATAATCTATTATATTTTCTTTCTAGTTTCTAGGTAAAGATACTTTATATATCTAATAGTAATAGTAGTAGCTAAAAACTACCTATTACGTTCTATAAAGAACTTATTTATACTATATATAGAGTAGATATATAGTTATAGCTTATCTATATTTCTTTATAGCTTATTAAGTTTATTATTAGTAGAAATTAGCTAAGGCTTAACTACTAAGCCTTGTAAAGTTTTTAAAAGGCTTTTTAGATAGATATATAGTATTTTTAGTAAGTCTATTACTAAGCTTAGGTAAAACTATAGTCTTATAGTATCTAGTGTTAATATAATAAAATTACAGGTAATAGAAGAGACTTTCTTCTACTATTCTCTATACCTATTAATATCTATATTACGTAATGTCTTTGTATAATTAAGAAGAGGTAGAAACTAGGCGTAGTTTTTTTAAACGTAGATATAGGCAGCGTTATTATACTAATCTAATATTATAAGTAGTCTTTGTAAAGCTCTGTCTTACGTATTAGATAGCTTAGTAAGAAGGTAATAGATCTGCGAGTAATTAGGCTTTGTTATAGGTAGCGCAACTATAGTAAAATGTATCTTATTGTATTTAACTACGAAGTCGCGCGTTTCTTGCGCGATAAGCTTATTTACTATCGCGAGTGCTATTGCGTTCTTTTTCTAATACAATATAATAAACTTGTTAGTCGCTAGGTTATAAGTGTAGCTATCTTTACGTCTAAAATAGTATCTATAAATCTCTTCTTAGAGTTCTGCGGGCAGGCTAACAATGCTCTACTTTGCTAGCACTAAAACATAATTAAGTTCGTGATCTATTATAGTCGTGGATTATAGAGAGTCGGAGAATGCGTTGCGATAGTAAAGTTGCGGAGAGGCGAGGCAGCTCAGCAAGATGCGATCTTTGATGTAGGGTCGTATCTCATAACTAGCGGGACGCTACAGTGGCATTTAACGAGGTTGGGGAGCGGGCTCCTCACCTACAATTTCGGTCCAAAAATTACCGGATCCACAGCCAAAATCATGTTTGATGCAGACGATGGTGTCAAAGCGTCTGATTCGCTCTCCAATAGCTACCTCGGCAGGCTACCACAGGAATTGCGAGACGAGGTTTACAAGCATTACTTCACGGCGCGTGGTGGCTATCGCATCGATCCCACCACGAACACCTTGCGTGCAGTTGATGGAGATCCCATCAATCTTTCATTGAGATCAACATGCCACACGATCGCAAAAGAGACGGAAGGGTTAGCGCTCCAATACAACACCATCCACGCCACGACTGCCGAAGAGAAGCGCTTCGCAAGGGCAGCTTACAACTCGTGGAGAGTAACAAAGGGGCATTCCTTCGATCGTCACAAGGCTCTGGTGAAGCTCTCTAGATGCATTACCCCAAGTGTAGCCGATGAGATCCTGGAAGGCTTCCCTCAGTATAGGGACGCGCTGCAGGAGTTGATAGCAAACAGAAATAGGGAGGGGTCAGGTAGGGAATACATGCGCTGCACTCCTCCCACAGCTACAGAAGCCTGGTCTACGGAGCTGAAGTTCGTCTCTCGCGCCGTGAAAATAATGAAAGAGCGCTTGGATCTCCCCGGTACACTCTTCAGAGCTATAAGCCAACTGCATTTCTGGGTGCTATCAGAGACCGACCCGGAGCAGCAAGCGCCCTGTTGGGAATTCCAGAGGAAAACGAACCCTTTCGAAATCGCTTTCAGCCGGATCGATGGAAGGCCTGTTATGAAGGAATATAAACCGTCATCCTGCTCTTCCGCAGCGGCCGTGGCAATACGATTCTGGAACGCCCTCGACCCGAAGACCCGCAAACAAATCCGACGATTCGACATAGACGAGGATAGGCGCTCCAAATTCTTCCCCATGTGCCATGCGAAGGGCTTCATCCCGTTGTGGCGAGAGAACCCAAAACTTCGCATCAATCGTCGCGTCAATCTCATGAATACTATTGTCGAAGAAGCTCGTCAACCTCATATGAAAGCTTGGCATCGGCAGCATGCGCATCATGCAGACAGTAGGTGCTGTGGAAGCTCAAAGCTCAAGATCAAGGCTGACAAGCGCACAGAACTGAAGACACTTTGGGATTGGATCGCCGAGGTCAAAGCACTACATGCTGCATTTGACATACCCAAGGGGGTTTTCGGTCTCATCTTTTATTCTGAAGCGTCGCCTGAAGACACTAAAAAGATAGTTGACGTTATGCAAGAAGCGGCAGCCTGGCAGATGGCGCTCGACAAAGTAGCGAAGAGCGGAAACGCAGGTAACATGCATGCTCTTGGGTTCAACTACTCTGATTACCTTTGGGACCCACGCGGGCTGGCGTGGCAGGAGTTGCAAGATATATCAAAGGGTTCCTCGGTGATCAAGTGCGACTTTGATATGGGCCAGTCTGTGGACCCAAAGGACTTGTATGATGGCAGTGGTCGCTGGCCGCATGAGAGATGGAACAGACACTGTGCTGTGAATGACTCCAACAGTTGGCGGCTTACGTGGCAAGTACGATGACATCTATCGGTCGCATTCCACGATATCAATGAAGTAGATCGCTGCAAGGTACAGAAGTATTGACAAATGTGACATCCTCAATTAATGATTCAACAAAGCAAACATCGCGCGACATATCTGTCACACCACATCCCCTAAAAGTCTACCCTACGAACCCCCAAACCCCTTCTCCAACCCCCTCAGCCAAATCCCCGCCGCATACGCCCCCGGGTCCGGAATCTTACTCCTCTCACTCCCATCCTCACTAATATACGTCGCGCGCCCAAACTTAGCCTTCATATCCTTCGTGCTATCCGCCTTCTTATCCGCAACATCCACGCTCTTGCTCAAGTCCTTGCTCTCAGCCAACGTATTGATAAACGGAATCAACACGTCCATGACCGTTCTATCGCCTTCCCTGGCACTAGTATAGTTTTTGAGATTCTCGAGGGCGGCAGACGCGGAAGACGCGAGCGTAGAGATATCCAGCGGTGCGTTTTGGGATAGTGTGGCTTTTGATAAAGCGTTTGTGAAGGCGGTGACGAGGATGGAGAGGATGGCGCCGAGGGAGCCGCCGACGTCTTCGACGTTTTCGCCTATGCTTTCGAGGAGGGCGAGGATGGGTGGTGGAGAGCTTTCTACGGCGTCGATGTTGGCGAGGATGGATTTGCAGACGCCGGCTACGGCCTCGCCGCAGTCGCCGTCGCCCATTTGGAGGTCGTATTGCGTGATTGTGGGTTCGGCTGCGAGGGCGTCTTTGCAGGCTTGACGGAGCGCGGGGATGAGTGATGCTGGTGTGGCGGGGCCCTTGTGCAGGAGGGATTTGTCGGCCGCGGCGGCGTTGGCTTTGTTGCGGAGCTCCTCGGTTTCCTTGTTGATGTTGAGGGGCTGGTAGCCGTTCTTCGGCCATGCTGGGGCGTTTGTGGGTGCGTCCAGCAACTCCATGACATCTTCGTCCTTGAGATCCATGGCTTTTGCCATACCGCTCATGTTGCCGAGTGTGATGCTGAAGCCTTGGGCATTCAGCGATGTCTCTAGTACGCCGGCGTAGATGCGTGTCGGCACGATCTTCCAATCTCGCTTCAAGGCTATCAGGGCGAGGTTCACCATGGCGTCGAATTCGAGGTTTGATAGGCCGCCGAAGTTGTTGACGAGCATGACAACGTTATCGTTGGGGTTAAAGGTGACGAATGCGCGGTCGGAGTCGGAGGGGTCGAGAAGGTACCGGAGCATCTCTTTGATCACGTCTTCGGGACTGGGCATCGGAGAGATGGTTCGTAGACCCTGGAAAAGTCAGTTCGCGACCTTAAGCTTGCTGGGATGAGATAGCAAAACTTACAGGCTCGTTGTGAATACCCATACCAACCACACAAGCATCGTCCTGCACACTCTCGAATGCCTCTCGACCAGGCACATGGCAATGATCGAGACTCGTGCCAATAGTAACCAGCTGCGAGTTACCCAACTCGCCAATCTTCCTACACCGCTCGAAAGCCCAGCCTTTCTGTGATGCAGCACCAGCCAGCTTGATGACCAACAAGTTACCAGCCAGTCCTCTCCTACCTACCTTGCCGCTCTTCTCGCGACCCAAGGCAGCGTCTTCCGCCATGCACACAACGTCGACCTTGTAGCCCAGTGCTTGCCCCTTCTCTCTGGCAAGACCGAAATGCAGCATGTCTCCTGTGTAGTTTGTTATGCACAGTATGACGCCCTCGTTACTCGGCACGTTCCGTATTCCAGCCATGATCTGCTTGGTGCTGGGAGAAGCGAAGATATCACCGCATACAGCAGCTGACAGCATGCCGTCGCCAACGAAGCCGGACCATGCCGGCTCGTGCCCTGAGCCTCCACCGGATACGATGGTGACTTGATTCGGAGGGTGTGAGAGGTTGTAAACGACGCGGTTGGCCTCATCGAGCGCCATGTGGGAGTTGCGCGTGCATAGGGAGCGTAGGTTGTGGAGGACCACGCCCTCCGGATTGGGGAAGAAATGCTTTCTCGACATTGTAGCGATTCGTATAGATATGCGTAGTATCAAAAGTCTGGAGCCTGTCAACAACTATAGGGTGTTTGGCTACAATAGTGTGAAGCCGGAGATTGCTGGAGAACGTACCTCAATTCAATCACGTTTGCCAACGTGTACACAACTCGAAAATAGCGGAATTGAATCCAAGAAATCAAGACACGCGGCGTACCGCCAATTCAGCCGGGCATCGTGCCTTTTAAACAAGTCCCCCGCATCCCCCGCCTCGATCAACATCATGACCATGAACCCCGCTCGTGGGCACCCCGTCAACTCAATTTTCGGTGCCAGGTACTCAACACGCGTCTAGAGGCCTAAAAACGCGCTCAAATTAGCCCGAAACGATGTCAGAATGATATGCTAGGCTTGGGTATACTGCATTCAGATAAGTGGGCTGCTGGAAGCTGGGGAGAGGGTCGTGTTTGCGCCGGGGTTGCCGCTTTGGGGATGCCGGGTGGAAGCTTGGCTTTTGTGGAGGAAGCTCGCATCGGTCGGAGCTCCGAGAGCTATTAGGTCGGCGCCTCGCGACGAGACGCTGGTAGTACCTGCAGTATCCGCGCGGTTCATAGAAGCTTGCAACTTTGCGGAATAATTCTGTACCTTGTAAGAGACGTGTGTAACCCTTTCAAATTCGATTTGGAGCATGTAGGCGAGTTGATCGTATTGATATCGTCGCAAAAGGTAGCGGGCTATGATCGATCGCTCCTCAATACCTCCAAATGTCAAGAGCGCCGCGCCCACAACTCTCCGTTGTCCAGTGTCCACACTTCATGACAAGCAATGGAGCAATCCATTCAGGAAAAGAAAGATCCCAATCAGGACCATGACCCGCTCGTCAAGCATGACCATATAGTCACATATGATCCTCTAGTCAAACATGATCTTCTTGCCCTTCAACAGTGTGCCACCGAGCAGTTTGCCAACTGCGTATCCAATGTAAGCGCCGGTAACGATAGTGACGGGCCACTTCTGCCATTCGCGGTCCCTGCGTTTCGTTAGCTATGCCCATTGCATGTACGTTGTCGACTCCAGTCTCAACGCTGGAGTCCTTCAAGTACTCACCAATCCAAGGGGATGGGTACAGCGCCCAGCCATGCACCGAGCACGGTGCCAATCAGTCCTCCGTAGACTTCATCCATCGGCAGAAGTAGCGCGATGATCTGTCTCCAAGTCTCGCCGTCTACACCGTGTACGTATACCAAGGGAAGTGTGCTGAGCAGCGCGATGTGGGCTCCAGCGAGGAGGGTGTGCATGTGATGCGTGGTGGCAGGCGCGCCGAAGAGAACGAGGGTCGCGGTGAGGAGCGGTGTTGCGGCGAGCGTAGTCAGAAGAAGGGATAAGAATGCCGGCTGTATCCGTGGTCAGTAATGTTTCTTTCGAATATTCTGTCGAAAGCCCAATGGAGCCTGTACGAGTGGGAGTGTAGACGTACGACAATCTTGGAGTTGAGCCCCTGCTCCAGCTTGCCCGGTGCCTTCCCTTTCTTCTCACCAGGCTTCTTGTTCTTCAAGGAAGGCGTGCCTCCTGTCGGGGGCAGGCATACTGCTACAAAGGCAATTTGCAGCACGGCGAGCGGCGCCAGAGTGGAAAGGAGCGTCGGCACCGGGTCCGCGACCAATGCAGGAAACTTGAAGGCATACACCGAAAGCACCAGTATAGGGTGAATGTGTGTGTAAAGACGTGCCGTGTCGTTCTTCAATGGCTCGATTGGCGGCGCCGTGGAGGGTTGAACCTTTGACGTCGCGTTCGCGTTGATGACAGTTGTGCTGGCCATGTTTGCGAATGAGATGGAGGACAACGACGTACGCTGCTGTCAACGTGATGAATATGTCAATTGGCGACGCAAGGTAGTGTGAGCGGCGTCTAAAGGAGCGGAAGTGGCGCCTGGCCTGTTGGTGTGTTGCAGTCGCGGGTGCTGCGGAGGGATGTCGCGCATCGGAAAGTTTCGTGATCATGTCCGTGCTGCTCGCTCATTGGTTCAACAGCGGATATCTTTCGAGCACCTCTATGGTTTGAACGAAGTGGTAAATAAGTGTGATCGGTAATGAAATTTATTGACTGCTTATTTGTCTTGCCCTCGCTTTTGCTCATCTCGTAGCGTGTTTCTCGTGCGACGTGTATCTGGGTAGTAGCGTTCCTTCAGCATCGCCTTGCAGACATCTACTGCTTCTGCTCGCCCTTCTTGGGCAACAGGTTCCTCAAAGAAAGATCGTAGACCACGTCCTCCACATCCTTAACCCTGTACTTCAGTCCGTCGCTACGACGGCGCAAGCTGTCGTTCTTGAGGTTGAGGATCTGGAAACCCGCGTGCAAGTCCTTGACGAACTGATTGATGAGAAGCGGACGCTCGTAATCACCGAGAGTTACTGCGTTACGTGCGAGACGTGTCTGTCATTGTCAGCGTGATGGAGGGTGGGCGGAGGCAATGTGACGGACCAGTTCTTCGACGAGCGTCATGAGAGAATGGAGGTACTCTTCGAGCGAGAGGTGGAACTCATCGCGGTCCTTGAGGTTCACGGGAACTGCAGTAGTTAGCGATGCGCATGTGCACCATAATCCTGAACGTACTCTTGAAGATCTCGCCGAGCTCCTCGATGGTCAAGAGACGGCCGCATTGCACCTCACCACCGTCGTAATTGTAACCACCGAGCCAGCCCCAGAACAGAGCGCTCTCGCACTATCGTGTTGTTAGCATTGCGATGACGATATCGTGTGGTTGATGAGCTTACGGCGCCCTGCATCTGACGGCTCCACATGTTGTTGAACTTGTAATACGGCATCTTGGACGCAGCCTGCGACAGGTTGCCGACGGTGTCGATCACATTTGCGATAGGCTCTTGTGCCGCTTTTAGGATGTCAGGCACTGCCGTTCGTTTAGTTGTGATGTAACCAGACCTGCGCAGAGCGACTTACGCTCGCTGACAGGTGTCGAGTGGGCTCTAGACAACACGAATGAGACGTTGCGGTCTACAATATGTCAGTATAGTCCGCTGCTCTTGTAGAGAATAGTCACTGTGCTTCTCAAGCGCCTGAATGATGTCGCGCAGCTCCTGTCGCGTTGTGAGTACGCTATCACGTGCAGCTCCATCGGCCGCCACTTACATCCCGGGTAGCAGTGTCTTCGTCTACGCGCGCCTGAAGGTCCTGGAAAATGGCCGGGTTGACCATACCTGAGTTCGCTGCCATTTCGACGTGTGGTATGGTATTGAAGTGTTGTTGCGAGGAAGTTCGTGTTGGTGGCTGAGTTGACGATTGTTTGTCACGGCAAGCTACGAAATTTTGGTCTCTCACTACTCACCGCGCAAAGTTGCTTTTATTCAGCTGCAACCACACAAAATCAGCTACCACTTGTGAGAGATTTACATGTACAGTCCGTCTTCGCGTCACACGGGCCATATAATTAGGTGTCACGATCGACATGCAGCGCATTCAAGGAGAGGTAACAGGCGTGCGCCGCCAGATGCTGCGTAACATGGCAACCACGACCTCACTCCAAGCACTTGTAGACAACACTTGATGACAATTATTCATGTCATTCAATGACCTCAACTAATGCTTGCTTTCAGCGACAAGATGTATATTACCGCCAAGGATTGCACAACACGAACACGGTACTGCCCTTGCTTTTATCTTCATGCAAATGGCGATTACGGATGGCTTAGATTATGCGAGTAGATGCTTGACAACGAGGAATCGAGGATGTATCACGCTGGAGTAGTTAAGTGTCGTATAACGTGACATTCAGATAATTGGGTATTCAGTCAATATCAGTATTCAAAGACCTAGCGTAATTATCTCGATGTCAAACTCCTTCTTCAAGCAACTGGCAAGCCAGAAGTCTCAATGAAAAAGTCGCGTCTGCCAGAGGTAGTGAAATACTGGCGACACTGTGTCAAGGAAGATGAGCAAGCCCAGAGCCTCCTCGACTAGTTTCAAAAATAGGAATAATCAAGAATTCTCCCGTGGGAGAGTTCTGCGGTGGCTGTTAGCAAAGAGATCTTCAGGTCGTAACAGCGTGGAGAGAGAGGTGACTTACTCAGAGATTAAACTGAAAAGAACAGATACTACACTTGATCTGGGGGGGTATTAGTGAATGTCGAATTTGTAGGGTAGAGTAGACGTACCTAAGCCAAAAGGCAAAGAGAGCTAAGGAACAGAAGAGGAGGCAGAGGGACGGGTGGGATATATACTGGCTCTGGCCTTGGCGCGCTAGACGTCACGTGAGACTCAGTAGCGTCGCACGTACCTTTTGTGCCTGCTGGCGGGAGAACTCCGGCATTCGGGCGCCCGTAGAGCATTGCCGGTGATGGTGAGTCTCCAGGCACCAGTATCACGCGTCACTTTTGCCTGCTCAGACGCGTCGTACTTCTTTGCGTAGCGGCTCCCAGACTCACTTTCACTGTCCAGATACGTCATCAACTTTGCGACGAGATCCATCCCCAATGGCCATTACCTAGGTATGCTTCGTCTGAGGATGGCGTTGCATGAGCGCAACAAGATGCGTCGCGAAGTGACCTGACTACATATCCCGAGTTGGGTACAATGTTAGCGTACACGTGGTGCTTGAAGTTGTACCCCTCATGAAAGGACGGTGATGTATACGTCTGAGCAACACTTCATTTACAACTCATCAAGAACAACCATCTTCGCATGCGGGTACATTCACATTCGTTTATGCTGATAGCGAAGAAATAGCAATGCTGCCTTTCAAGACGAGAACGCTCCGCCACCCTCTCGAACAGATGCTTACCGCGAGTTGCTCCACGCTCCATCACGCCATGTCTCTCCCACTGTAACATTACTGCAAAGCCTTCAGACCCAAATAATTCGGCGAACCCGTCCGGCTCGCGCCCTTCTAGTACACCGCATACCTCTTCGTTTAACTCGCCTTCTTCGTAAGCTTCGGCTTGCCGCGCACCATCTTATACCTTATACTCAACTTGACGACACGACGCTCCTTCTTTCCCGCACTCTTCGCACGCGTCTGGCGACCTTCCACCTCCCTTGGCTCCGCATCGACCGCATCGCTCGGCGCCACCATCGCGAGTTGTTCACGAGCGTGGAACTCGCAGCTTAAGAATCTCGCCTCTTCGCAAACCCAGTGGAAACTTAGAGCGTAGCCGGCCTTTTTTGTGGTGTTGTATTCTCGACCTTCGATGAGTGAGATGTTGTCGTAGAGAAGTTCAGTCGCCCAGCTCTCCCCATTCCATCCGATTTTCATGTTGAGCGCTGATATAACGATGCCTTCTTCCTTTACGCTTTCGTCGGCTAGCGAACTGGGCGTCATGAGACCGGTTGCAGCGCGCTCCAATGTGGCTGTCGCGCGGCGTATACGCGGAGCGATGGCGTAGAGGAAGAGAGGGCTGCGTAACAGGAAGCAGAGGTCGTCTGATGCTCGCGATTAGTTGATTGCAGCTATACTGGCCTGGCTACTTACCAAGGAGTTGTGTTCGATCGTGCGACGGTAATTTGCCCAAAGAGTCGTCGAGTGAGCTTTGGAGATGACTGCGCAGCCTGTCGTTGGGCTGCCCAAGATGGAGCCTTAGCTTCATCGCTCTTGTCGGGTTGTGTGGCGGTTCAGAAGATGGGTTGCTGGTGGTCTTCGGGCTGTGTTGTATTCGGATCGGTGGTCGACCAGGGTGAGAAGTCACAAGGTCGTGAATGGTGAGACTCCCGCGATAGGGCATATAAGTCGAGCCATACTTAGTGATAATATTGCCTTAGACCGCGCGCCGACTTTCTCTCACTCGTCAACCCATAACAGTCCTCGTGCGCAGTGGTTAGTCATCATGGGCCTGTCGATCGTTCAAAGTGAAGGCGACGACCGAACAGGCCTGCGGACTACATCACGATGAAAACATGCAAAGTAAATGAACCAACGTCAATGTAGGCTCCAGGGTGTTTAGATTCCCGCTGAATGAGGTACCAAATTAGGAATCTTATCTGCTCGACAACTCGATGAACTGACTAGATTGGGAAGCTAGCGACCACCATCAGAAATGCGCATATAAAGCAAGTGCTATACAGAGTCTTTGTACATCATGCTGCCTCAAATCCCACACGCGAGGTCGCCATTTGGGGCTTGCGCTACTCGACAACCGCCTCTTCAGCCTCCTCCTCCTTCGCTATACGCCTTTCCTCGGCCTTCACACGATCCTCCTCATCCTTCTCACGATACTTCTGCGCCAGGCTATGCACCCTAGCAAAGAGCTCAATCATCGCCTGCCTCTTCGATTCCGTCGATCGACCCTTCATGAGCGTCCAGTCGCCAACCTGAAAGCGCGCAACAAAACCATCAAACCTGACATCATCAGTATTGTTGACCTCTGGCCCGCTTTGGATGGTGATAGCAATACGGTCCCGGCATGCCTTCTCGGACGCGTCGAACTCGTACGGGAACGGATTAGACACTTTGGTGCTTTCTTCGGATTCATTGGATACCGACGAGACATCGCCGTCGACAAGAGTTGTCGAAGTGGAAGGAATAGGTACTGGCTCGATGTTGTCTTCGTTCTCCCAGTCGTAGTGCTGTATGTTCTTCCGCCCTGTATCGAGGAGGTAGATGATGTCGTCTTGCCGCAACGTCAGCTGCTTGGTCGCAAGATAATAGGCATTACTTACCACGCCAAGGCGTGTATTCATGATGGGTAAACTGGGGTATGGTTCTGTCCAACAACACACTATCGATACAGTTACCAAACTGCCAGTCAGGTGTTCTTGCGGCCATGACTTGTTGGATGTTGCTGTATTCTTGGAGTTGAAGATGATACGGGTCCGGCAGCAACAAGCCTATTATATAGTACTCTCGTTTGATGTCAAGCCCAGCCGGTGGTGTGTGCAGCAGTCTAGCTTGCTATCCATGAGTGTCGCAAGATAGCTTGGCTGATCACGCCTTTCCGCATGTTTGCGAAAGCGGCTTCGAGCAATCGAGCTGCATGTTCACGATCTCTCATCAAGCATCACTCGGAGTCAGGCAGCCTTGGATGATTGGATGGTACCGTTAATAGTTTGGTACAAGCCTAGTATACATTATGATAGAGCATATGACAGCCAGCAACAGTCCCTCGCGGCCAAGAGGTGAAGCGCAGGGCACTAGTAATACAGGAAGGCCATGAAGATAACCTCAATGCTCGCCATGAGCCACTTCACTCATACTCTCGTGCCAAAGTAACGACCTTCTGGAACACGTCCAGCAGCGCATCTGCCGGCGAAGAGGTACTCCTTCCCTTGGCCAACACATACCCGTCAACAACGATGAGAGCAACACTGCCCTCGAACACCGTCGCGCCACGGGAGTCCTTCTCCGCGCCCTCGTAGCGACGAATATCCAACTTGTTGTTGCAATCGTCACGGTTCTTGGCGCTGAAGGCTGGGCGACTGATGGAATGCTCGAGTGACTCTGTCTGCCAGGCATGGTCGTGCATGAAGGTGGGGTTCGCGAGGAGAGCTTCAATGGCCTCTTCAATGTCTTAGCAAACATATCGACATGTTGAAGAGGGTGAGACGTACTGAGGAAAGGTGTGTAGTCTGAAGCGGTGAGGAGCGGAAGACCACGGTACTTCTGGTCCGCTAGCATCGTCTGGAAAGCGTGTCGTACTGGGTGGAAAGTCATGTTTGGAAGTTGTACTTGTTGGATTGGAGTGTAAATATTTGCGAGTTATGTTTCGGCGGGACCAGGCTTTTATGTGGTCGGCGGGGTGCTTGATCTGATGCCTTACTCATGTACTCGGCTTGTTGATCGTTTGCTGCTGTCACTATGGAAGATAGAACTTTGCCAATTGTAGCGGTATCATCTCGCGGCATGAAGGCGATGTCACCGTGCCCGTGGAGACCCCCTTCTGGACGTTTGGCATAGTCCGTAAAACCCCCATGCAGTGGCGCGCCACACTCACAGAACGAAGAACTCGCGAATCATCTTCTGATTTCCGTTCGCATCAAGGTCCCCAATCCATGTGGCTGGTAGAAATGTCGCGGAGAAGCCACCCTTTTCGTCCATCCCAGCCTTGATTATGCAATTCCATAATCTCGCTTCTTCTACCGGCCAGCCGGTGGTTTGGTCTACTTGGGCTTCTTCCAACTCGATCGCTCGTTTGGACACCGCCACATGTTGCCCCGCATCCCAAAGGCCCTCGCGTGGTGGGTTACGTTCTAGAAGCGCTACTGCCTTTCGTCGGGTAACGGGACAGCGGCATCGAGTTGCGACAAAATAGAGCTGAGGAATTATCGCAATGTCGAAAGTGAAGTGAGCGGTGTTTGGGTTCGTGGGCGGCCTCGAGTCGATGATTGCTTGGGCATGATGCAGGATCTTCTTGAAGTGATCTAGATAGTTGTCGTATGTCTTCTCGATGACTGTTGCTGAGCATGATACGTAAACAAACGTCGTGTGATACGAAACCTTGAGGGCGTTCGCAGCCATTAATTCATCGTTCGAGAGCGCATGATGCTTCTCAAAGCGCTGCATATTCTCGTACCAGAGATGATGGCACGCCAACAGATTGTCGCGTTCTCGATACAGTTCAAGACTAGGATCCTGCCGAACGAGTGATCTTCTTCCCATAATATACAGATGAGTTATAGATGCATTGCGAAGCTCGAAGTAGGCCTGGTGCGCCTCGGAGAGACTCGCAAATGAGCGCTTGGAGTACGAAGCAGGCATCACTTGCAATATCTCCAAATCTTCCTGAATTCTGGCGCCATAGAGCAAAGCTTGCGCCATGCCGCGGGTGAAGATGGACACCAACTTGTCTTCTGTTGAGTTTCTCGAAGGTCCGGACCCGTTCAATGCTACCTTTGGGGGATACGTGGTTTGTAATGAGCCCCGATAGTTCGGTAGTGCCATGCGGGGCGCGTACATTAGTTTGAAGCCGTTCCTCAAATGGGTGAAGGCGGCATGGTAGTTGCCTTGGAGGAACTCAATGCAGACGAAAAGAAGACAGATAACGAGTCCAAGCTCCGGCGAGTAAGTGGCATCGCTCATTCGATTGACTAAGCAGCCAATGGACTTGTTGTAATGAAATAACATGACCTTGCGCTCGTGATTGGCAATGAAGCCCGCGCATGCATGCTTCATATCTCCAGGCTCGGCTTGGCAAAGAGCTCCTAGAGCTATCACGGCATGGCGAACGGCTGGTTCCGAGTGAGCCATCTGCAGTACGATGCGAGACCAGAATTCTTTGTCGAAGTTGGTGGAGAGTGCAGGGCAGGCGCAATGGTAGTAGAAGTCCAGATAGCGTGCACTATCTCCAAGGCCACTTAAGGCAGAGATGGCGTTCTGTGGATCGAAGGCTCGTCCATGAGTCCAGACATGAACTTGGAACTTCGCGTCGTTTGTAGTGTAACCATCGCATTTGCGGCCAGTACGCACACACCTGACAGCATTAGCTCACGGAATGATCCGCGAGAACGGGGAGTCAATGCTTACTTGAGGCATTCTGGCTTCTTCTCATCACATTTGACGCGTCGCACTCTGGAATCGATGTGTCAGCCTTTCGTCACATGCAAAGGTGTCCGTTGCGTACTTGCACGTCTTGCAGCCTGTCTTCACTTTTGGAGCCCGTCTGCGGGTTTGGAAAGACGCCTCGCTCGTCGAAGACATCCTAGATACATGCCAGAGATGGCGGTAAGAGTACAGTGTGACTGCATGATGGAGACGCGTGAGTATGGTCGGGTAGGATACGCGACGAAGGTGCGAGTGTGGCGGACGGGAGACGGCCAATCATGACATCAGCGCCCGGGAAGCATCACGTGCTTTTACGAGCCGACCAATCGTGAGATGTCGAACCCGCAGATGTCCGACCACCTCATACAAGAAAAAAGCCGAACAGGTCTAGAGCCTACATCGACGCCAGGTCACCTATTCTGTATGCTTCCATGTTGATGTAGGCTGCAGGCCTGTTCAGATTTTTTCTTGGCTGACGTGCGACGACGTTGCAGATCAGGCGCGCAACGACTGTCATTAAGAAGAGTGCAGCATCCAGATGAGGCATTGTATCTTTTCATCGACGGGAGATATGGCTGTGTTTACAAGCTATGTACATGCCCGCGCGCTCCAACGCCAGCTACCGAGTCGAAACTACCTAAGATAGCTTACAAGATGTGGCCGCGCCATTCAAGGGAAATACTGAACATCGCGGAGCCTACAACGACGCTACGCCTTGCCAATTGCTTCTCATTGTCATATCGTAGGCTGCACGCTCCTTCAGTTTCTTCAGCTTCTTCCTTGTCTGAGGAGCACCAACCGCACCAACATGTTTTTCCCACCGCTAAATCTTTGGAGATTTGGCGAGGATCATTGCATGCAACCCCAGAGCGGCCTTCTCAAACCCGTCTTTGGCCAATCCGTAGACCTCCTCGTCTACCAATGGGTCATTCCCCTCCTTCTCGCAGAGGTCGCCCTTGAGAACGATCGTGGGGGCCCCAGTGCGGCCGCGTTCCGGATGGACGGCCAAACACATATAGCTACGTCTACCCTCATGCCCTATGAACATGCAGAGTTGCCAGAGTGACTGTATACCATTAGGACCGAAGATACCGTGTACACCTAGGTTAATGACATAGTCGGACAGATAGTCTGGAAATATCCTAAGTCAGCGGAGGAGAAATCATGTGGTGCAGTGAGAAAGAGAACTTACAGACTAGACGATGCATCGCGTCCGGATTCTCGGCCCACCAGATAGCCAAGGTATCCCGCAGGACTATATATATGCGATCGTAGAGCATCTCGCGAGTGAGACGCTCGAGCGGCTCGCGATAGAACTGCGGCACATACGGTCCTGGCGATGGCTCTGGGGATGGCGAGTTCGACTGTGTACCAATGACGGGCATATGGCCTGTCGGCGGGGCATACGGTGGGGAAGGCGACTTCGACTGCGTACCGATAATGGGTATGCGACTTGTCGGCGGAGCATACGGCGGGGATGGCGACTTCGACTGGGTACCAATAACGGGCAGGGGAGCTTTCGGCTGAGCATGCTGCGCGGAAGTGTGTGACGGTGCGTACGCGGTTGGGGGTATAGCCATACGCGAAGGCTGGAAGCTGGGAACTTTTGGGGAAGGCGGCGATAGCTGGCGTACAGACGTGGTTGGAGACATGGACGGGGACGCTAGACCGGGCGACGGAGAAGTTGAGTAGCCCCTTGGTCCAGTCGTGACACGAAGAGGATTCTGCGCCTGGTAGTCGTGCAGTCGCGACACTGCGTCGTTGGCGGTGCGGGAGAAATCAGGAGGATAGTCGGCCATCGTGTGTGATATGGAGTTGAGACGGAACTTGTTCTTGGTAGAGGACGTCGGCTGTTAAGAGCGGCGACTCAGGACTTGGAAGCTCTCAGATCATCAGGGCAAGCGGTCGAAGGAAGCAGAAGTGGGCGGTGATTGCTAGTGAAGTCGATGGTTTAGGGTCGCGCTCGTCGAGAAGAGATTTCGGGTGCAAAGTGAGAGTGGAATGTGAGTGAAAGAGACTTGCTCATATCTGACGACTGCCTGACCGTGCGGGACTTCCATAGTGACATCCCAATCACGGAAGGCTACCATCTCGTCTCGGTGCAAATACCAGAGGTTAAGCTATACCATATGGTTTTAGCAGGATGTTGACGCCTGTTCCGACAGAACACGGTTTTACAGATTCACCTCACTCAAGAAAGAACGTGAACACCGTGGAGCCTACATTAATCTGAAAAGATGCAAAGCATGTAACTCAACGTCAACGTAGGCTCTAGGGCGTCCATACTTTTCCTTGAACGAGGTGCATTGCCCTAGGACCCGAGCGGCGCAACGAATCTAGTTTCCAAGTACCAGCTTCCATCAGGCGGGTTTGTCGATGTGTCTTGTCGCTCTAAGACCACATATGCAAAAATCGCGTGCTCTGCAACCTACATTAGCGATAAAGACAACAGATGACAGAACCCTGAGGCAATGTAGACATCTATGTTATCTACTTCACCAAGGGCCAAGTTTTCCCGAAATTGGTGCTCGAGCATGCTCTCTTATGTGCCACTACGAGCCGCTGCGGTGTCTTTTATGGACATGGTACGTTATGGACAGGGACGATTTTCTTCCACAAGGACGTTAACAAAAGAGGAGGATCGCGACTTTAGTGCGAGTGGCGGCATCACGAGGTTGTATCGTTTCGTTGCCCGGAGAAAATCGTGGAGACGCAAATAGCACGGACTAGCCTGGATGTGGATACGACCTGCAGGGTGGGCCTAGTGCGGCTCGGGAAGTGTCAACAGTGCGCATTCACTCCTGACAACCGCCCCCATAGTATCCCTGACCCTCGTCGCACCCCACCGCGCCTTCTCTCGTTTCTGTTTACCTTGCGGACATTCACTCGCTAATCGTCCGCACCTTCCTCCGCTATCACACTTCACTCACTTACCGTCCTCCACACCAAGCTACCGCCGCACACGGCGCCAGACCCGCCGCAACCCGAGCGACACCACACGTTTCGTAATCCGCCATCATGGGCTTCGGCGACTTCCAGACGATATGCGAAAAGGCACCGATACCACTATGCGCGCTTGTGGGCCACCAGGCGATCAATGACGGCGTGGGCATCCAGACAGAGTGCTATGCGCGCACCATTGAGATTGCGAATACCCTCATTTTCGAGGCGGCGAACGACTTCATGCATATCTTGGCCATGATTATGACCGTTGTCATGATCATCCACGTGCGCTCCAAGTTCACAGCTGTCGGTACGTTTGCGCATTGCCGTCTATAGCCGGAGCAGTTCACTAATGCACAGCAGGTCGCAAGGAAATCACATCCTTCTTCTACATCTACCTCCTTTTGACCATCATATCGCTCGTCCTCGATGCCGGTGTCGCTGCTCCTGGTTCCGCTGCCTACCCGTACTTCGCCGCCGCCCAGAATGGCCTCGTCTCCGCGCTGTGCACCTGTCTACTGATCAACGGCTTCGTCGGCTTCCAACTTTACGAGGATGGCACTACACTCTCCGTCTGGCTCCTACGCCTCTCTTCGCTGGCCATGTTCATCGTCGGCGGTGCCGTAAACCTCTTGACATTCAAGGGCTGGGCTGGACTGGAACCTGGCAACCCCGTCGGCATCTTTGTCGTTACCTACATCGTCAACGCCATCTGCCTCTTCGTATACACCGTCAGCCAGATCATCTTGGTTGTCGGAACACTGGAGGACCGCTGGCCGCTCGGTGATATCTCATTCGGCATATTCTTCTTTGTCATCGGCCAGGTCATTCTATATGTCTTCAGCGACACCATCTGCGACCAGGTCCAACACTACATCGATGGCCTCTTCTTCGCAACTATTTGCAACCTGCTTGCTGTCATGATGGTCTACAAGGTACGCTTATCACTAACATCATCCAATCGAACAACGCTGACAATTTCTAGTACTGGGATTCCATCACTCGCGAAGATCTCGAATTCTCCGTCGGCGTCAAGCAACACAACTGGGAGGTCAAGGAGCCTTTCCTCGAGGAGGACCAAAAGCGCGGCACCATGTACCAGGACTCCGACTACGCTCCATCGCTATACCAGCAACCGTACACGCGCAACTCGCACTACTCCGCCGTCGGCCACTAGGCTCACGACAACATCCCGCTTTGTTTTACTTTCGATGATACATGTTTTGCGCATACCATTTTACGGCATTGGGTGGAGTTTATGGCGCACATCAGCTTCGGCAAAATGCTTCAGCACTGTACTACTGCCTGTGAACGGTAACTTTTGGAATTTGGAGGAACTGGGAACCGCAAAAGCACTTGGTAATGTGCTCTTTTGCCGCCTTTTGCAGACGAGATCATGACATATTTAGCGCTTATATAGTAATATCAACTCTTTACAATCGACCGAAGTCCTCCCTGCGCACACCATCGTCTCATACAAGGGAGGGGACGAAGAGGTGCCTTACAGTCTACACTAGTTCAAAGACAAGCCTACGACAAGATCTCAAGGTAATGTAGACTTCTAGGGCATATACTCTCTTGTCTCTGTAGGTGGGTGTTTTAATGTATTCTTTACATCGGGTCTTGTCTGAGCCGAGGCTTCCTGGGGCCGCGTGTAAAGCGCCGGAGCAGCACAACCCAACCCATCTCCATCTAGCAAGCAATGCAAATACCATTGCTGCTGACAACCTTGGAAAACTGTCTTCACAAAATTGTGGTACATTCACCGCTCGAAGTTTGGGAGAACCTTACTCCGGCCCCTTCCCCGGATTCGCTGCATTGATGATACGCTAGTGAGCGGGTCGATGTTCATCCCCGCATCATGTCCGATGCACCCTCGGGGCTTCATTCGGCAGGTATAACTTCGCGGAATGCTGTCATCTCGCGATGTACGTTTCACTGCTACTGATCATTGACCGTCGCTTTAGGGGGTAGCATTATCGCAATCATCGCATACAATCGCCTTTCATCTCATCTTTGCCGTCTACGGGCTCACCCATTAGTGCGCCAAACTCCAGCAATTCGATAACGAATCGATATACTACATTGACGCGATGCCAAAAACGGATGTTCTCATATCCGGTTCCGGTTCCGCTGGTGTCTTCGCAGCAACTTGGCTAGCAATCTACAATATCCCATTCACGATTCTGGAGCGACGTCCTGGTCCACTAAAGATCGGCCAAGCAGATGGCGTCCAGGTGCGCACAGTAGAGATCTACGAGTCATTTGGTCTATCGGAAGATTTGTTGCGCGAGGCATACCATATCTTGGAAGTATGCTTCTGGGGTGTTGATGAAGATGGCAATGGCAATGAGCAAGGTGGCATTAAGAGGAAGAGCAGATCAATCGATACGGAGAAGGGTCTAAGTCATTTGCCGCATGTGATTCTGAATCAAGCGCGCATGAACGGACTGATGCTGGGGAAGATGGAGACCATCATGAAGGAGAAGGGAAAGTGGAAAGAAGGCACGAGCAACAGGATCGAGTACGGCTGGGCCGTCAAGGGCGTGGACATTGACGAGAAAAGAAAGAACGACCCGAACGCGCATTGCGTCAAAGTGACCGCTGAGAAAGATGGCAAAGAGGAGGTCTGGGAAGCGAAATACGTCCTAGGCTGCGACGGCGCGCATTCCACCATTCGCAAAGCCCTCGACATCCGCATGCTGGGCGACTCTTCCGATACCGTCTGGGGCGTCATGGATATCTACCCACTTACAACCTTCCCCGACATCCGCCGCAAGTGCACCATACACAGTACCGCCGGCAACTTGATCATCATTCCCCGCGAGGGTGGTCAACTAGTCCGCTTCTACATCCAGCTTCCCGCCGGCACGCAGCCCAAGACAGTGAAATTGGCCGACTTGCAAGACCAGACTCGCAGGATCTTTGCGCCATATACCATGGACTTTGCAGATGTCTTTTGGTGGAGTGCATACAGTATCGGTCAACGCCTGGCTGAGGTGTTCCACGCGCATAATCGCGTCTTCTTGACGGGCGATGCGTGTCACACGCACTCGCCGAAGGCAGGTCAGGGGATGAATGTGTCGCTTCAAGATGGTTACAATATTGGCTGGAAGCTTGGCTCCGTGCTGTCTGGTCTTTCGCCTCCTTCTCTGCTGTCGACATACGTTACCGAACGCAGCAAGACGGCAGCTGATCTCATTGCTTTTGACAAAGAGTTAGCAAAGATGATCAGCAGAAAAGATCGATACGAAGGCGAGTTTGCGGACTACTTCCGGAAGAGCGGGCGGTATATGGCGGGGTTCACGGCGAGGTACGAAGACACCATTATTACCAAGGGGATGGAGAAGGAGAAGAGTGCGGCTACGGCGGTCACGGTGGGGACGCGCTTTCCAAGTGCGCAGGTTATACGGTTTTGCGACTGTAAGGCTGTGCAGTTGAT